ACTCAATGCAGATGCTGACCTCAGATTCACCATGCTTGTCAGAATGGTGTTTTCCTTCCTCTCTGCCAACATGAAGCCTGGGGAATTGTGGATCAGAAAAAAATTTAAAGTTGAGTATTTCCAGGGTGATACAGAGATAGTAGAAATGTGAAAGGGATTAAGAAAGAAAAAACCTGTACTACTTAAATTTTCTTCTATAAGCTCAGAAGGGGCCTGGAAGCTTTGAAAGTGACTCTCTGGTCTGGTTAGACTCAAAGGTTGCTAAAAGTGCTGAGAAATTTCCTGTCCTCCAATTCAGCTAAACTGCAGTAAGCAGCTGGATGGAGGGTCAGCATGGCAAGAAGGGATGGTTGGAAGCCATCCAACAGGGCAGTAGAAAAGGGAACTCGTTTTGCACAGTGACAGTGAAAGAGAGTTATGGCCTTCAGGCCTTAGAGACTTTTTTTGCACATTGAACCCAGGGGTCTTTTCCATGAAATTTATGGTATTTTCCCATTAGTTTAGACCTCCTTGAAATGCAGTTCTTGCAATAGCCTGTCTGGCTTTGACAGATCAGTGCAGGTCCCATGGTCAAAAACACTTGGTCAGTCTGTTTGTCCAGCAAGTTGCCTGTAACAAAGGATAGGGTTTTAGTATTTCCTCTGTAAGGAAAAACCTATTAGTCTGGAAGAGTTAAGCATTGGCATTTCCCTGTGGTCACCATGTCTGTCTCCACAGAGACCAAAATGTTTGTGTTTACTTCTGGCTACACATCACTCCATAGAACAGCACAAATAATTGGTGGAAACATCAGAAAAAAAGCATGAAGAATGAGCAAGAGTGGAAATGGAGAGTTTTTGAAGAGATTTGAAAGAATGGGGAAATGAAGGAGGCAGATTGGTACTAACTGTGCAGTCAGCAGTAGCTTTGGAGATGTTCACCTCCATAGCTATGGTGCAGCAGAAAGGGCCTTGCTTCAATCAGACAGGTGAGAGGAATGACCTTGTGAAGAAAAACAGTTAAGACCAGAAAGTGCAATTTCATGAGTTCCTGTAAAAGCAATAAGGAACATTTTGATCTGAGACAGTCCCAGCTGAAAGTCCAATGAAATACTGTAGGTTTAGAAACCTCAGTTGCATCTACTCCCACTTTTGTTAGTGGCCAGTGATGGATGAGCTGGTTGTGAAGAATTATTTCTCAAGGACTGTAACCTAACAAGAGAAAATCATAAAACTACTTTAATTGTGGCTTGACTTACGACTAAAGTGGCACAAATTAAAGATTCATGAGGGTTGAAAGAGACCTTCAAAATCCTCTATACCAGTCAAACTAGCACCACCATAATACCCTCTGAACCATATCCCTGAGTGCCACATCCAGACACAGTAGGATTGCAGCCTAACATAGTGCAGGAGAGTCAGCATTCCTGGGGCCCTCTGATGGCACCTTGAGTTCAGAATGTGGGCTTTTGTATAAGGCACCTCTTAAAGGAGAGAGAAATACTCTTATCTTGTCGCTTTGGAGTTAGAAGAAACTACAGGTATCTTATCTTCCTCAGCAATCCTTCTGTTTGTCCTTCAGTCATACACAATATGTAGTACCAGCCCCAGGACACATCTCTGGGTGCTCACAGTTTTGTAAGTCATATTGGGGCTTCAGGAGCTATTGCCTGCTTTCCTTCTCCTCACAACAATGTAAAGTAAAAGTAATTTCTCTGAATTTAGCAAAGTTGCACCCCACTGAAGCTGATGTGTGAAGAAATCAAGTGTCAGTAATGTTGAATTTCATATGTCAGATGCACTTAACCTCCTCTGAATCCCTGGGTTTGGACTAAGTGTCTCGAATTGGATGACAACATTCAGGAGAGCTTAGCTCAGGAAAGGCTGAAGAAAACACAAAACACGTCTCAGTTCCTATTGAGTCTGAACTAAGAGCAACAACTCTAGTGACTCTCCATTTCCAAAATTAGAAGAAGGAGAAGTAGTTGCTGTTCTGTGCACTAACTTGGGGGTAATAATGGTTCACAGCTCAGGGCACAAAGTAGTATCCCTGGGGAAAAAAGAGTTCTATTCTCTTTTGTGTGGTACCACATATTTGGGTAGATACTGGCTTATCAGTAATTAGTGAAGTCCTTTTGCAATTTTTGATTTTTGCAGCTTGGTAAATTATGGCTCTCCTTTGACTTCCATGATTAAAGGCCCCTCCAGAAGTCTGTAAAGTCACTTGGGATAATATCAGTATAAATCAGTGAGAGAGGGCCTTAGCCTCTGATACTTAATTTTTTGCAGCATGCTATTCCAGTTAATTCCCAGGGATTCCCAAAGCTCCAGCCACATGCCCAGTTTGAAAGGCTGTCCAGGAAATGCTGGAATGACGTGGGGACAGCACCTAGCCAAGTGCCATCTGTTGGCCATTTACCATACTGCCTCAGAGGACAGTTCTGAGTGCCTGAACCAAGCACAGATGACGTGGTCTAAACCCTTCTCTTCAGATTCAGACCTAGTACCTCATTTCAGAAGGAGGGCTCTGCTTTTCTCTAGATCCAGTCCCTTCAGACTCCCAGTGTAGTTTATCTTTAAGTTGGACATGAGGAAGAATTTCTTCACAGAAAAGGTGATTAGACATTGGAATGGGCTGCCCAGGGAGGTGATGGAATCACTGTCCCTGTTAAAGGAAAGACTGGATGTGGCACTTAGTGCCATGGTCTGGTTGACATGGTGGTGTTCAGTCATAGATTGGACTTGATGATCTCAGAGGTCTTTTCCAGTGTAATTGATTCTGTAGTCTGTGATCTCAGAGAAAGTGTAAGATTTCTGGTTAATGGTTTAGGACATGAGCAGGTATACAAACAGATCTTACTGTGATTTGTGAAGTATCCTCTCTCATTTTGTTGAAGGACAAATTGATTAATCATTCCTAGAGAGACCTAAGCATAGTGACCCCTCCTCATGCTTACTTCTCCAACAATTTGAGGTTGAATAATTTGAGCTAGAGGAAGAAAAGATTTGCTCCTGCGTCACTGGGGTAGTGAAGCAGGGAGCAAATGTCTCAGCCCCTCTGCACTGTCAGGTTGATCATCTGTCCTGTGGCCACAGAACCCCAGGAGATTTTCCCATATTGTCTGGAATCACCTTGTGTGTAGGATATTAGTTTTGGATGTAGGACTGATCTCCATGTAACAATCCTCTATGCATAAGTTTGTGCTACTCCTTTAGAGGGATAGACCTATTATTGCTTCAGCCTAACTTGGAAGTCCATGGGAGACATAAAGAACTCCCTTTTCAAAATAGATTGCGAGAAATAAGTACTGAACCTTTCTCTCCTGCAGATTTCTACATTTTACTGGCAGATTGCCTAAATAACTGACAAAGCTTACTGAAACACCCCTCAAACAAAATTTCCACTGTCCAGTGACATCACCTAGGGCTCTCATAAAAGAGAAATGCTTCCTGATGATCCTTGGGGCTCGAAGTTTCTCATAAACTATCAGTCAAACAGTTTATGTCCATACCACAGCAAAATGGATATTCCAGAAATGTCTCCATGTGGCAGGAGGTGAGGTGGGTGGTATCTTCACTGCCTCTTTCTTCTTAACCATAGCCTCTTCTTGACCTGCACTGATGTGCAGGCTGCTCCAGGAGACGTCTCTCAGAAACACTGTAAACTTCAGACTCAGCCTCCACCTCAAGATTATTAAAGAGCTTCTGTCATTTTCTTGGTGTGGAAGGAATTTTACATGCCAGGATTTAATCACATTTTTAGCACATATTGTTACTTTTGTCTCCTTAGGTTTCCTTTGCAGACAGAGATAACTCTTTCTTTCTTCACGTGCAGAGAACACATATAAATAGCTGTCTTGTTCACTCACTGGGATGCCTTTACTGGTGTGAGCAATGAGGACACTCTAAAATATTGTTTCTGTATGTTCTGTGAAACTCACAGTACTCTTCCTGAGCCATTTGATGGAGTGTTTAATGTAATTTTATTATTTTCCTAAATATCATCTATATAATACTAGCACAAATCTATTAAAAATAAGGTTGGAAACATAAGCACATTGCTTTGCAGAATGTATTGTGAATTATTTTGATTCAATTTGGGTGTACCACACTGCTATTTGCAAAATTTCATCTTAGCCCTCTGAGGCTAAAAGAGGACTGAACATATATAGCATATCTACCCAATAAACACATTAAATATTTCTGCAAAGAAATGGCCACCTGACTCAACATGCCAGCCTGGACTTTTAAGCTAGTTGAACCTCACTTTTTTGTCTGTTTGTTTATTTTTTGAGCAAATCTTCTTCTTCTCCCCCATACAGGTGGTTGTGTCATGGGATCTTCTTTGCAGTTTGCTTCAGTTGTTTCCTTGGTAGCATATTCCATATGTTTACTATCATTTTTTTTTCCCTTTAGTAGCCTGGAGCATTTTTCTCACCAAAAGCTTCAAGGGTATCTTCACAGGAAATATCATTGTTCAAAAAAAGTTTTATAGGAGCAAATAAAACACTTTTCCAAAATAGTGCTGCCAAATAGCGAAATAGAAAAATATTAATTGTTTTTGATGACAAAGATATTAACGGGAATAAAAGCTGTGTTGTTTAAAAATAACCAACTCTTTAATAGTACTGTAGGAGAATATTCAATTAAATGAAGTGTAGTTTTCCAGTGAGCCCACCTTATCTTAGCTTCAAATGACAGGTTGAATTAATTTTTTTTTCATTTCTGTTTCTCATCTCTGTTTTGCACTCCTGTCATTGCTTGCTACTATTTATATTTTATGTTAAGGATCTTCTTTTTCAGCTGTTTATAAAATTTTACAAAAGCAGCCAGATATCATGTTGGAAACTCAAAGCCCCAAATCAGGCTATAAATCATAAAACCCCATACATATACATGTCATATAAAATGCCACTGCACTATTCTTTAGCACTTCCTGTGTTGACTTTCCTTCTCTTCCCTCCTCTTACCCCTCACAGCAGGTAGAACTGAAGGGTCTTACCTGGCTTCTTTACTTTGCAGACTCAGAACAGAGCACTGGGTCAGACACAGAGGTGCTGGCAGAAAGGACATCCTGCTCATTTGGCTCCCACTCTGACCTTACATCTGGTGGCTCAGGCCCTCAGCCTCCTCCACCTTCATCCATGGAAGAGATCCAGGTAGAGTTGCAGTGTGCAGACCTCTGGAAAAGATTTCATGACATTGGGACAGAGATGATCATCACAAAAGCAGGCAGGTAAGACATCTCTGGATTTCTGTCTAGTTAAAAAAGAAATCATAACCAAACAAACCAATTTTTATTTACTTGATTTTTAAGAAAGAAACTTTTTTATTCCTTCTTATAATCCAAAGGGATAAACATGCATAAAAAATTAAATGGCTGAGTTTCTCAGCTGTGTTTCCTATTAGCTTTCTTAAGACAAGTGAAGTTGTTTGATATGACTGTTTGAATAAGTGGCTCCAAAGGAGAAGTGGCAGCTGCAGGAAACCATTGAGGATAGTTGTTCCTTTGAGCAAATAAATCAGGAAACAATCATTGTACAGTTGGCTGTACTGAATTTAAGATGAGCTATAAATTTGGGGGTGAGCCATTTGAGTCTCTTTTCAAGTTTCCGTAGCACTTCATGAGCTTATTGATTTAATCTCAAATATAGTGAAATTCAAACTCACCTTTGCACCAAATGAATGTCTTCCTGCAGCTCTAAATAGATGCAGTGTTAAAGACTTCCTGTATGAAAAATGTGCAACCCTAATGCTTTCCTTTGCTATTGCAGTGATACCATGACAGCTGAGGTTAGAAAGAGCCACTAATTAGCCAGATTTTTTAAAAAGGAAAACCTCACCATGTCAGGTTAGCCAAGGGGAAGATCTTCACTGCTATTTAAAAATGGCTAGGAGTCTGTTTGCCAAAACACAATCCAGCGGTAGTTGTACATTTCTAGATGTCCCAAACCAGGATTTTTAGGCACGTTTGCATGAGCAGGCCGTTTCCTACCTTCACCTAATGAGGTTTAAATTCCGATTGATGCGGACAAGGAGAACATCAGCACCACGGACAGAGCCCGGCGAGGCGAGCAAACACCGGGAGCGACCCGGGAGCTGTCCCGCCTGTGCCGCAGAGACGCAGCAGGGAAATTTTACCCAAGTTTTGGGGAAAACCCACGGTGCTCTATTGTTTACAGCGTTGTTTCATATCTGTGCTCTCAATTTTTTCCAGAACAGTTCGACTTGTTGTTTTACAAGCTTGTGAAGTGAGTCCTATTGCTCTCTAGCCCCAGAAAGTCCAGATAATCCAAGGAAAATTACACTGGACAAATAACCCAGATCATCCCTGAAGAAGATTATCAGAGCCAGATTAGCTCCCAGTTTTAGATTTCAGTGGCAAAGGAAGCATTTTTCACCAGTACAGAGTGGGCTGCTGGTTTTGACCTGCCTCAAACAGAAGAGGCAAAGTAACAGGAATGGTATCACCTGCTATTGCACAGCACCTCCTCTCTGGAGATGTTAAAGCAGGCACAGAGACAATCATTATTAACCCCTTTTCCAAGGTGGTGACATTGAGACCTAAACAGATTAAATGATCTGTCCAGCATCATTAAATATGGCACTGGAAGAACCATCTTCCTTCTTTCTGGATTTATTGTCCTGGTGCCTGGATCATGCTGCTTCAGAAACTTAAAATAACACATTATTACCTGTTAGATTAACTATAATTAATTCTCTGATGATACATGGAGTAGATACTAAAAGCAGCATAAATATGTCCTTGCCCATCAGTTCAAACGAAAATGGCTGAAACTTAGTGGTATGAAGAGGATCTTGTCAGTTCACACATTTCTGAACAAAGTAGCTGACCTTTCTGACATCTTACAAGCTCCACCGTGGATAATTTTTTCACTTACAGAAGATCATGTATCACAATAGAGTCATAACTTCCCATGCAAATCATATATTCATTTTAATCCTAAATTATATCCTTTCTCCTTGGAAGGAGATGCTTGTAATTACTTGAGTCCTGATGGCCAACTGTCACATTACTGCCCACAGTAAATCTATGTAAATACTAAATAGATGTGTTTTTTCTACTTGATGATGTTCTTCTTCAGAAGTGATGTTAACAATATTGGAGTGCTGCTGTTTTTTTCTTTTTCTGTTGACTATATTTGTAGGTTAATCATTTCAAACCACAATGAAGATCTGGTCAGTTTCTTTAGGTAATACATCTGCTTTTTGAGGATGGTCCTTACAGGTGTGATAGAATTTGCAAATTAAATGGTTAACCAGTTCAATAGGTTAAAGAGTTTTCTCTCAGAGAAGATGTGTCTGTGATGGGTGAGCTGGATCTAGCAGTCCTGTTTCTCCATATGGGATGCATGATACATGATGCATCCCAGAGCTTAGATTTTATTATTTCTGGCATAAATAGCAGAACTGGTGTTATTTCCTGAAGATTTCCTACTACTTATTCAAATTGTTAGAGACACACAGAGTAATTTGCATCTGCTTCCTCCCCCACAGAAGATTTTACTCCTGTTGCTTTCTCTTTGGAAACCCTGAGTCCCATAAGGCCTTCTTGTTTTGAAAGCCATTATAATTACAGACTCAGTTGCCTATAACTACAGCTGCTCCTTAATTTTCTATGACTTGTAAAGCACTGCCTGGTTCCTGTCTGTCCCCACAATGTCTCTCTGCTCTTGCTGGGTAATGCTAATTTCTAACCTACGTTCTCATTTCAAACATAGTTATGGGGCTATATCCTGCCCTGCATTTTTTGACTTTCAGACTCCTACTCTCACTCATTTCTAATTCTGCTTTGTTGTTTTTCTTTTCTTGATGCTGTATTTATAGATGTCTTTTTTTTTTGTCTGTTTCCATAAACCTACTCCAGTCCTCTTATAACTCTTCCTTTTTCCTTTCCATCAAAGCATTTTTATTTAGATTTTAATCAGATGCTTATAAAAAGACACCTTTTTTCTTTGTGTAAAAGATGCAAATGGCTGTCAGCTGCAGACATTCAAATCTGCAGTTACCTTTATCTCCTTTTTGTTTGAAAGGCAACCTTGAACTCTGTACAAAATAAAATAAGTTCATCTTAAGCCCCAGGTCATACTGATTTGAACTAATCCTAAAATAATTTTTAACTCTTTTTCACTGCTCTCCTTTACTAACAGTGATCATGTGGTAGCATCAGTGGAGGAATTTGAAACCTTTCCACAACTCTGCAGTCCCTATTTAATGTCTGTGGTCACCTGAGCTGCAGGGGTGACTGTTTGTTAAACGATGCATAGGAGTGCTGCCCAAAGTGGGGAGAAATGTGCACTTATTCCTGGGGGAATACACTACAGGGAGTGCTTGGAGTCCTCCTCTGGAAAGGAACAGCTGCCTATCATTTATAGAGGTGCTTTTATGAGTGCTACCATGCATCCCAGCACATCCAAGAGGTATTGTTCTGGGAACACAGGTTCTACCTGTAACAGAGCCGGGATCTCACCTCAGCAATGGGGGAATGATCTCATCTGTCATATCACAGTTACCATATCTGTGCTCAGGATGGCTCAAACCAAAATGCTGATGGCCAGGATTGGTAGTAAGACTGAAAAAAGCCAGCAGTGAGTGAAAGAGGTGACCTTGTCCTCTCCTGACTTCTCTGTGCCTCCTGACAGGTTAAGTGGTACTTTGCCTGCAGTGTCTTTGCTTTCCTGAAATAATGAGTCTGAGTTCTTAATAGAATGTACTCAGGGCTGTTTGCATTACCAGGTGTTATTTTTTCTTTCCAGTGGAGAGAAAGGTGGGTCCCAAAGTGCTCCTAAGTTAGAGAGAGCAGCAGAGATTTTGTAATCAAGCTTGGTTGTTGCTGAAGGGGCCCATGAAGAGAACTTCTCATAGCAAGCTACCAAACTGATTTTTAGAGTTCCTAGCCCTGTGGGCCAGATAACCTTGCTCCAGCTTCCAGAAGAATGTCCCCTTTGGGAGCTACTGAGAAGATCTGTTGATCTCCTTCTTCTTCATAAACAATAAATCCATTTGCTACCACGCCCTGCCCTCAGCTTTTTCTCTCAAAACACACATGTCTCCATGATCCCATGCTGCAGAGGGAAACAGAAGGGCATTCCTCCACTGCCTTGCCTTGCCTTGCCTTGCCTTGCCTTCATTCCTTACATATTTGTTTCTCTAAAGAAATATACATTTGGCATCAGTCTTAAATGCAAGGAAATATGAGATATGAAATAACAAGGATAACTTCAGGTTGTCCTGTAAACTCACACACATTGTAAACACTGTGCATACTTAATCTGCAGACCTAAATCAGATTATATTTTGCAGAGTTTCTATACTGGATTATTTTTATGCCTGGGAAATGACTATTCTGTCTATTTCTTTTGTTGCAGTCGAAGAGCACATTGCTTCATTTAAGGGTTTGCATTTAATAGATGTCACCCTTATACAAATCTACTCTTATCTAAGTTCCTAACTTAAGGGTAAGAAACTGAAAGTTTATTCTACTGAGGAAAAAAATCCAGTTCAGGGATATATCTGTGATCCTCCTCCTATGACCAGTTTTCACAAAGTAAAATTAAACTGTATTTTAAAGGAAAATTTCAAATACCACCACCAAAAGATATACTGCTAGCTGACACAACCTAAGTAATTTTTTTTTTTGTTGAAAGTGCCCAAACATGGTTCTTAATAGGAGTACACTCCTGTGCTGGCAAATACTTTTTAACTAAGTTCTAGAGGTATTTATCTACCATCAGTTTTCTTCGCCTTTGATGTTCATAAACTCCAATCTCATTAGGAGAAAACCAGAAATTGAGTACACTGAGGCACATTGTTGTTGCTAAAAGGTTTTTTAAAACACTTCTAAGTGGTCCTAAAGCAGTTGTAATAAATTATTTCATATCATGTCATATTTCCCCTACAATGGTACTGTGTGTAAGTTCACAATCTTAAGATTTGGAGGACTGTTTTCCTGCTGAGTGGTAAAGCTAACATATAAATAACTTGATCATCCCAAACTGCTGCTGATAAAAAACCTCCTCCTAAAATATATCAGATGTCATCACATGTTCCCTATGAAAACAGACAGCCCTCGTGTCTATAGCTGTTGACTGAAGCTGATACCTTTCTAGATGAAATAGTCTTGACTGTTTATTAATCCAGCCATATCCAAATGTCCTGAATTCTTTCCAAACCTTTGAGCCTCTTGTTTTTTATAAGGCTGGTGCCTCTGGGCAACCAAGAGCCAGCCAAGAGGAAATGCAGAGAACTGGGACTTTACCATGATTATACACGAGCACATCCCTAAGCCTCCCCTGTTAGCCTCTGCCTTTTCCATTTCCCTCTTTCCACACAGCACTGCTGCTGTAGACCTGCTGTGACAGTTCCAGGCCACATCTTTATAGTAAAGAAACCTAAGTTACTTTTATACCCACAGAAAAAGAAAAACAGCAATAATTTACAAAACTTGAAAAATACACTTAAACCTTAGAGAAAGTAGTGGGATCAGCCGAGCTCTCTCCGATCATTTTAGAGATTAGCCTCTAAGCCTGCTGAATGGTCTGTGGTAATCTTTTACAAGGCATTTCATAAGCAAACAACCCCACAGGCTATACTGCAACTTTACACGAGGCTGCAGATTTGGAGAGAACTTTTTGGGACACACAGCTCATTCAAAACACAGTGTGCAGACTTAGACCCAAAGAGACTCTGATTTAATCCTGGGTTTCTCATCAACCCTCTGAAACATGACCTACCTCTTTAGCTGCTCCCAAGCCACCTCTCTCTAATTAAAGAGAGCTGGACTGTAAAATGCCACATCCTGTACCCATTTGGCTTGGCAGATTTAATGAGCCATTGTGGCAGAAACAAGGTAATGCCCTCAAGCCACTCAAGACTAATCCATTATTCCTTCCCCACTTCCCCCCCAGTCATTCTACTAGCAAACTCACACCATCAGTTGCACAAATTGCTCTCTCCTTGAAGGGTTTCTGCAGACGATTTTTCTGACAGTTTTACGTCTCTCATAACTCGGGTTAGCTGTGCTGTGGCAGCTGTGGGGCGGTGCTCTCCCACCCCCCACGATAAATGCCCTTTTCCTAAGCAGATGCAGTTACTAATAGGTCAGCTCTTATCTTCTCAGTGTGGCCTGAAATGAAAGAGCTGTGGGTAAGGCAAAGGCTGAGCATCCTCCTCCTTCCCACACTCTTCTGCATGGAGCTATATGAGGCTTGGCTGGGAAAGAATGATATGGATCCTCATGATCACATCTCTGTCATGCAAAGTTTGAGAGACATGTCTGGAGATGTTGTCACAAGCTTTCCTGTTTTCTTCCTCCTCCAGGCTGTGTTCACTAGCAATACTTTGAGAAACAGAAATGTTGGAAGGAGAACTAAATCTTCTTCTCTGACATTTCATTGTTTCTCATTAAATAGAAGAGAAAGTGTCATGATGGTTTGTAGGGATGACTTTTAGAAACATTTCTTGCACACTTTCCTACTATTTTGGCATTGTGATCTTAAATTGCCCTTTAATATCCTCCCTCCATCCACATACTTCCATCTCTCAAGGATATGTCTACTTACCAGAGAAGCAGAATATGATTTTGTATAATCATGCAGTACTTTTGGGGTTTCTCCTGCCAAAGCTCTGTATTTTCTAGGCAGAAGTCATTTAATTGAGTAACACCATCCTATAGGACTTCAGCTTAAGTTTTTCTCAGATAAAGGCTGAAAAGCCACTCAGGTAGAGCTCAGGTCTGGGTTAACAGTCAGTGAAACAATGCAGGATTTCTTTCAGTCCTCTGCTCTGATTTCAATGTTGCTCAATTCCTGCTGCACCTCATTCTGTTCAGCTCCTCAGATTTTATGAAGGTGTAAAAATACCACATGAGTTGGAAATATAATATGGCATAAGTAATTCCCTCAGCATGCTCTTTGAGGGAGGTGTAGAATAGAAATTGGTCTACTGGCCACCATAAAATTTTTAAGAAGGAGAAATTATGTCATAGCCACACTAACACTAACATGCTTTAAGGTTAGAATTGTTCTGATCTGTTCTCTTCTGAAATAACTGCCTAGCTACAAACATTTCCACAACAGTGACTGTGTTTAGCAGAGCTTAACTTGTGCTCAGACAAGAAGAAAAAAGCTGGGAATTGTTTCTTGTTGGTGTAGAGTTCCATATTTTGTCTATCAGGAGAAAATGCTTAAGATAGATCTGGATCATATGGCACAGAAAAGACAACACCTATTAAAAATATTGCACAAAACACTACCAGGAGTTCAAGGAAGCCATGACATAATGCCAGTGTTTCTGTTGAATGTGAAGTACATTCCTAATGAACAGATTAATTTGAGGGATGTTTTTCTTAAATATCTGCAAACATGAGAGCCACAGGATCTTTCAGGATGATGCATTTGCTTCAAATGTTACCTCAGTACTGTCAAACTCTTTCCTGAAACATGACATTCTCAAAAAAAGAGAACTAAAGTGATCCTGCATTTAATGGAATATGAGAGAAGAATTACAGGTGGATGGCCAGTGGGAAAAACACAAGGTAAAAGCACACTGTCCATCCTAGAAATGCCTTAGAGAGGATGATTTGTGTGAAGCATAGCAGAACTGTCTTCTAGGAACTGGGAACAGAGTGCTTGACTGTGAGTATTTTATCATTACTTACAGGCTGTTACCCTGTTACCCCTTTTTCTAAGTGGGAAAAAACTGAAGATTCAAAGCACTGCCAGCACAGTCTTTTCTACCCACACCAAGCCCAGAGGAGTCATGCCAAGGACTGGGCTGTGTAAAGTAGCATGTTTCTGGTGCCAGAGAGTACAAGGAGCCTCTTCAGCTTCCTTATTCACCATTTTCTTCCTTATTTCTACTCTTATTTTCCTAGGAGAATGTTTCCAGCCATGAGGGTGAAAATTACAGGCTTGGATCCCCACCAGCAGTATTATATTGCCATGGACATTGTCCCTGTGGATAACAAGAGATACAGGTAAGATTTTCAGGGGCAGAGGTAGGAATCTTGTACCAGCTTTACCTGTCAATGGCAGCCTAGGACAGACACCTGCATTAAACACCACTGCAAACGTGGGCTGGAGGAGACCCTACTGATTAGACCAACATAGCTGATTTGACCAGCATCTTTAGACACAAACTCAGAGTTTTAATACATTCTCTTGCACTTTTGGAGTGAAATCTTTCTCTTTTCAAGTAGCAGTTTTTAATTGAGGAGATCTCTGTCATGCATTTTCTGATTGACACAATTAGCAATGACTGTCTGAGGGAACTGGAGTTATCAATGGGGGTTATCTCCAGGGGCTGAGTTACCTTACTTCTTCAAGAAAAGAATGGGCAAGGAGCAGCTTGGAACTAAGCCAGGCCCTTCAGGTCTGGCCTGAACTGGACTGGGTGATTTCTGTTTCAAAAGTGCTCACTGTCCAGCACAGCAGCCTCAGTGAATATTGGTCCCTGACCTACAGTTTGGAGTCACTGAGAAACTTCCCACTGCTGAGCTGAAGACAGGAAGAGGAGATTTCTCTGATATTAATGGGCTTGTGATCTTAAAAAATACTCTGGAAAACTCATGATCCTCTGCATCCCAGAAAACTCTCTGGACTGACGTGATTTATGTATTCTTATTAAAAGACCCCTGAGAGCAAGTCTTTCCTCCAAACAGTCTTGACTGAACCACATTTCAAGGATTCAGAATTGAACCTCTGCTTCAAATGCTAAATAGTACATTTTTGTTCCCAAATTGATCAGAGTGTTTTCTCAGGAAAAATTCTTTTTTCCCTGGGAAAGCAGAAAGATAGTGTTTGATACTCATCTGGATGTTTTCCTCTTTCTAAGAGTGTGGTTCTAGCAACACTGACATTGAAAATACATTTATTTTCTTACCCTGCTTGGCTTGTGCAACCACACAGAGAAAATTAACAGGAAAGGAAAAGACTCCTCATTTCTTTTTTCTCCCCCCCCCCCCCCCCCCAATTTCTTGTGACAATACAGGAAATTAGTCACTGTTTGTAGGTAAAAACTGGAACATCTTAGCAGAGCTGAGTAGAGACCCAATGAAAGGCAGCACAGGGCAAAACTCAGAGGTGTCAGTAGAACTGTTGGTGAAATGCCTTTGAGGGAAGGAGCTGCAGATCAGGAGAAAAAAGGTACCTAGGCAAAGCTGTGGTAGAGAAATTTATGGTATATATAGGATGGCTAGAACAGGAACACAAAAATAACTTTTTCTTCTAATCCCAATGTATGTAATACTATATGGAATTTCCTTTTTTGCAACATTTCAAACCAGAAATTCTGTTTTATCAATTGTTTTACTGGTATCTATTAGATGTTGCCCATTCTGGGTGAAGCCACATGTGTTTTCCAAAGTCTGGTATGAGATACAATGCAGATTTCCAGAAATTGCAGGGTATTTATTAATATTTTCAGAGAGGACTTTGTTTACCATATTTTCCAGCCTCTTACTCTGGCTCAGAGAGGGTTAAGGAGATGAGAAGACACATGTGGCAGAGTTTTACAGGGAAAATAACTGCAAGGTGGTTTTAATAAGGAATCAAGTCTGAACAAGTGGCTCAGGGGTAATCTGGCTTTCATTTAGAAGGTAGGAGGTTGCAATAAAGCACATTCTCCCCTGACTGCAAATGAGAGCTTGGGGTGCATGAGGGTGGCAGGGGAGGGGGAGCCCTGGATGTGTTCCTGCAGTGAGTGAGTGAAAACCTCCCTTCCTCTTTCAGGTATGTGTACCACAGCTCCAAGTGGATGGTGGCTGGCAATGCTGACTCCCCAGTGCCCCCCAGGGTTTACATCCACCCTGACTCCCTGGCTTCTGGAGACACCTGGATGAGGCAGGTGGTCAGTTTTGACAAGCTCAAGCTGACCAACAACGAGCTTGATGATCAAGGCCATGTAAGTTAGAAGTTAATCCTGGTGCCTGGTGCTGTCCTAGCCTTGCTCCTCTCAGACTTGAAAGGGTGCTGCTGCTGCTTTGATGCTCCTGTGTCCTGTTGGGCACACGTGTCTGTGGTTGCTTCCAGATTTATGGGGTTTTTTTTGCTATTTCAGTGCTTTTCTTCAAAATGTTGCCTGATCCTATAAAGCACCTTTCTCTTTGCTCACAGCACAAACTTTGTTTCATACATGCTTGTAAGAAAAGGATAATTTTCTCCATATTAACTCTTACTCCATTCCTACTTTCTTGTACATCTGGATGTTGTGTAAAATATTTTTTGGGGAAAAAAAGGTCCTTTTCCTTTTGTTTTCTTTTCAGATAATCTTACACTCAATGCATAAGTATCAGCCTCGTGTTCATGTCATCCGCAAGGATTTCAGCAGTGATCTTTCTCCTACAAAGCCTGTTCCTTCAGGAGATGGGGTGAAAACCTTCAACTTCCCTGAGACTGTTTTCACCACAGTGACAGCTTACCAAAATCAACAGGTAAATCCTTCATGCTCCTTTTATGTTGTGCCTTCACAAAAATAATCAGTGTGTTCTTTGTGACTGAGACGCTAACTTCTCTGAGAAGCATAGAAAAGTTACACTTTACAAAAAAAAAAAAAAGAAAATAAAATGCTTGCTTGCTCTGGGGTAATGTGTAGACATGAAGTATCTAGCTAGGAAACCACCTTGAAGATAAGATGGCTGTAGCTTTTACTGTAAAATAAGTAACTAAGAGCAACTGTAAAGAGATGTGTTGGGTTCAAATTTCCTTGCTACTTCATGGTACCAAACTAAAATATCCTGTCCTTACTATAATTTTAAGGCAGTACAGCTATAACTCGAGATCAGTTCTCTCAGAGACAAAGCAATTGGGTTTTTTATAGCAGTGAAGGAAAAAGTTTTGAAAAGGCCCAATCTCATCAGTTTGTTGACAAAAAAAGCCTTTGAATGCATGTCTTGCATATAAACTGAAATTCTCATGCATGCATGTCTTGTGGGATAGGGTCAGGTAAGGGGTCAAGTTATACACCTGAAATTTAGGAAAGTAAACTTCCACTTTTGCAAGGAGATGGTCATTAGGATCTCCTGGGAGCCTGCCCTTAGGAGCAGGACATGGAGCAGAGTAGAGGTGGCAGATCTCTAAGGAAGTCGTCCATACAGGCTAACAGCCAGCAACCCCCAGGAGCCAGAAATCAGACAAGAAAGTCAAGAGAGCAGCATGGCTGAGTAGGGACCTGCTGGGAAAACCAGATGGAAAGAAACAAATGCACAGGCAGTAGAAACAAAGACATGTACCCTGTATAGGGACTGGGTGAGGAAAGCCATGGCCAAGCTGGAACTAGACCTGGTAAGGGATGCAAAGCCTAACAAGAAGGGATTCTACAGGTAAGTTAACCAGGAAAGGAAGGTTAAAGAAGGTGTAGCTCCCCCTGATAACCAATGCTGGAAAACTGGCAACAACTGATGGGAAGTCTGAGGTACTTAACACCTTTTTACCTTAGTCTTCAAATGAGTGAGTCTTCCCTTCTCATACATCTTGAGAGGATGGAGACCTGGATGGAGACTGGGTAAACAAAATGCTTCCCACTGTAAGTAAGGATCAGAAAAGAGGGCATTGGGATGACATAATTGCAGTCTTCCAGTACCAGAAGGGAGCCTACAAGGAAGATGGGGAGACTTTTTACAAGGGCATGTAGTGACAGGATAAGAGGAATGGTTTCAAAGTGGAAGAATGTAAGTTTGGACTAGATATTGTGAAGGAATTCTTTACTGTGACAATGGTGAGACACTGGTACAGGTTGCCCAGAGAAGCTGTGGGTGCCTCATCCCTGGAAGTGTCCAAGGCCAGGTTGGATGGGACTTTGAGCAACCTGGTCTAGTGGAAGGTGTCCCTGCCCATGGCACGTGGGTTTGAACAAGATGATCTTTATGGTCCTTTCCAACCCAAACCATTCTGTGATTTTATGATAATTTGTGTTTGATTTGGGTCTTGCACAGTTCTCAGTAATGAGACTTAGTATTGATTTTGGATACCATATGGAAAAGATGTCACCACAGCAGGACTCTTTCTCTAGGGACCTTGACTTTGTTAGTGATCTACACTTTCTTAAACTAGACTTCAGTCTTCTGGGACTGAAGGACAGACCCCTATTAAATCAGCTTAAGGCAGATTGCAATATAACCAATTTTTAACAATTGTGAATTCTAACAATTTAGTGAAATGTTAGAGTTTTTTATTTGGCAATGTATAAGAGAGCGCAGATGCAGTTAGTGCTCCTGTGCACTTCTTATTTTTCTTCCCATGACTCCCAGTTTTTATTCCCAGTCTGGTCCCCTTGAGATGACTTAAGTCAGGATCCAAAATGCATCAAAAACATTGCAACACACTGGTGGGTTTGCTATCATTGCAGTATGGGAAACTTCCTGCCCCCCCCTTGTCCAAATGCAGATACTCTACAAATCTCGACTGTAGATCAGACAAAGAAGGAGGATAGGGAAAGCAGAAGAAATTACAGGAATTAAGCCTGTCATTCTTCCTTAATGACCAGAATTATAAGACATAATTACACAGGGAGGGAGATGCTAAGGGAGGGATCCCTGTCAGGGATCGGCACCATAAGCTGCCGCACCATAAAGAAATGCTGACATTTCTGTCTCTCTGAATTCCAAATGTTTGGGGATTGTGTTCAAAAAGATCCGGGGGACACAATCACATTTTCATAATACCAGTAAGGAGATTCTGGTGGGCTGGAGAAACATTTTCATTAAAACCAAATCTAAATCCCCTGAATCTGCCTGCATGCCCTCCAGTGGCTGCAGAGTGTTGCCTTACTGGGGGAAGTGTCTCTGGAAACAATTGTAAAATGTTAGCAAATCCACCACAGGGATTCCCTCTGCTGTAATTCCATCCTCCACAGAACATATCTGTCTCTGTACACACAAGTCCCAGGACAGCTGCAAAGTCAGGCTAGCGGAAATTAAGTTCACAAATTAAGCTTCTGCAAAAATAGGAGCTGCATTCCAGATCTGAGGTTAATATCCAGAGTAGGGGCTTGGTTCTGACAGAAGCAAAACACCTGCAAATCCCCATCAGATCAGACTGTATTAAACTAGTCCCTTTTGAGCAGTTTCAGCAAAACCACCTCAAATTTGGTAGGTTCTGGAGATCTCACTCTTCTTTCATTCCAAACATAGAATCTCTAGGACAAGCTGAGGCTGGCAGAGGGAAGCTCTTTTGCTACACCGGGTTGTGGAATAGCCAACAGGGAGTATAACACCACAGGCTGCAAGGTCAAGATCCCAGTGTTATAGTCTGTACTTACCAACATGGAATTCATGCTTAAAAATAAAGCAGGAAAGCAGATTCCCCCAAAGCACTCAGTCTGGCTGCTACCTCCTTTGTTTAGAGGAGGGGGAAAAAAAATTGAAAAATTTACGGACCAGAAAACTCTTGAGGGCTGCCTTGATGCTGACCAGAACAACAGCAACTTGTATGTGTGACTGGGTGGCCACCCGACATTTTTGGGGGCTGTAGCCTGTGCTTTTCTCTTCAGCATTGTTTGAAAGTCCATGAGTTGCCTTCAGCTGCTGGATATCTGGAGTGTTGAGGCTGAGATAACTCAGATAGCAGCCAAACTTGAGCAGAGTGCCTGCTTCCCAAACCATGTAGCCATTGATAAATAACAGCTCCTGGGGCTTTGCACCTGGTGTACTTCTACGCCAGGAACAATTTCTCAGCCCCAGCACTGTGCCAGGTTTCCTAATGCTACCATGATTTCTGTCTCTGGTGACATGTTTTGATAAGCAGATTATCTGTTGGTGGATAATGGAAGGGCACATTTGACAGAGGTCTGGGGAAATAAGTGTGAAAGGTCATTGTAGGGGTGGCTTGGGCGAGAATGGAAATCATCCACAATTTTCATCAGTTGAAAGAAAAAAATTTGAAAATATCAATTAATTTTTTTTCTTCTTTTTAGATCACCAGATTAAAAATTGACAGAAACCCCTTTGCCAAAGGTTTCAGAGATTCTGGGAGAAACAGGTAACAGAAACTTGTTTGTGTTTCCTCACTGATCTCTTCCCTCCTTTCCCTGATGAGTGCACAGGGCAAATGTCTATGGTTGAGAAAGGCATTTTTTTTTTTATTTTAAAATGAGAAACAGAGATAGAAAAACAGGGGATTGCGGATAGTAACACAGACAAATAGGTCACAGCTTAACACTGTGCAAAAGAATTATTCATTATTACATGCAGAGTTGGCTGGAGGACATTTTTAAATTTTAATTTTCACAGGTAATGCCAAAGCTTGGAGAGCAAATGCTTGCTTTATGTTAGGAGAAAAAATAAGTTTCTCATGGGTGTGAAGGATAAAAGTGCAAAAAATGTTTTAGTTCCAAATAATTTCAATTTTTATCCAGTGGTGTCCAATGGTTTCACTTTGACTGTGTTGCTTAATTTTGTCATGATTTTTATGGAAAAATTAAGTAGAACGCCTTAAATATTATTTAGAAGAAATTATATTTTAACAGCACAGTAGTTAAAATGGAGCTTTAATCAATCCCCCCATTGTATTAGTAAAAGACATTACAGAGTTATCAAAAAAAGGTAAGAAAATCCAAAAAAGTTTCATCTTTTTCTGTTCATGTATCCTACAGCTGAATGTGCGGCAGATGTAAATATTTCAGATCTAAATGATGTAGGTATCCTTTAAATCAGTGTAACAAAGGCTTTAAACCTTAATTATACAATTAGACATATATGACTACATTACAAGAAGCCTAGGGTTGTAAAGCAAAGCTCTGAGTGTGCAGACCAGAGTAAAAGTTGTGTGCATAGCCCTCATTTGCTGTCCCCATGGGTGCTGTAACTCAGTTTTACTTGCATGCTCCTGTTGTGTGTGTTTACCAGGACTGCTGTCTCCTTCATAAGGAGGTTTGGTGAGGTCAGTGCTCATGAATGGGCAGCTGCCCTGTGTTTTTCACCACTCACTTCAGTGCTACACTCTCCATCATCCCAAAGAAGACATTCAAAGGACCTGAGCTCAGCTCCTCTGCTGTTATCTTACTGAATTTATGCATGAAGATATTGCCACTCATTTAAATCCCCACTGTGATCACCAGTTCTCCTTGAGGCACATGTGACTTTTATTCTGCTCTCCTCTCCTGTGTGGGGAGAGTAAAGTGTGTCCTGGGTACGAGATCTTCCCCATGTGCACAGATACAGCTGCACTGGGGGCTGGGTTTGGGAGAGGGATTGATGCAGTTCCAGGTACATGGTGGGCTGCATTAATGTGGAAGGCATTAATAAGGTCCTAGCTCAGTGAATTTGGACAGTTTCCTGAAAAGGTTGGGAATTACTGATCTCTGTAGCTCATTGATTTAAGAAAGGGCAGGAAATTGCTACACGGCTGCAGCTGTGGGGAGGGCTCAGTAAGGCTCTCTGCTGATGTAAAGAGGAATTAAAATCTTTAAGGTATTACACATCAAAGGGAGCAGCCTGAGGCTTTAGGAAGAAAAAAACAGGCAAAGGTATTTGCAAGCATATATAGCAGTCAGGCGCCTGCCTCACAAGCAGGGGTCTGGCTGCAGTTGCACTGCTGTTGTCAGCTACGGGCGGACACAAATGCTCAGCTGCCTCCTTCCCAGAGGACACTTACACAGATATTCCCATCGGAGGGAGGAAAGCATTGAAGTCCAAGCTGTGTGTGGAAAGGACTTTTTGAATGGGACTTTCCTTAACTGTGCTGGATGGCTTTTCTCTCCCTTGTGAATCTGCAATCTCATTAGGATCACTGGTCAAAAAACAATTGTGATACTCTGCAACTTCCCACGTCCTTCCCACAGCTTCAGTCAACTGCAGTGCCTCAGACTGTGGCTGGAGAAGGTCCTGCTGAAAATGAAAATTTCTCCTTTGCAAAAGAAATAGGGTAATTTGAAGAAGGGCCATTTGTGAATCAGCCAAGTGAGTAGTACATGTTCAAAAGGTTTTATGTATAAGGACTTAAAAGAAAAAATAAAGGTGTGGCAGCAGCAAGAGGCAGAGACACAGAATTCTGAGGCAACTCCAGGACATCCTATTCCAGAGACATTGGATACTGAGTCAGAGCCATGGTTATTTGCCAGGAAATGATGGAGGAAAGAACTCCCAGGGACATGGTGGATGATAAGGAACTCTTAAGCCACTTCTTTCCTAGGATATTTCCTTTCTGCTTTATGTTGAGGCTCTTCCATTAAATGGAGATGGATATTTTTCCTCCACTTATTTATTGTTATTGTTTCATTGCTGTCTCCTGCTGCAGAAATTGTGGAAGTGACTGTTGTTTTTAAAACTAGCTTCCATTTTGAATCTTCCACTTCCGTCAGCATGCAGCCTGCCCCTTTATTTCCTGTGATCTCCCTTCATCAGTGCAAGAGGCTGCTAAAACCCTGCTGCTCTGGGGATACCCCATCATACTGTGACTGACTGTGCCCATATGGGGGAGCAATCTTTTCCCAGCTCCTTTCTTGGATCTCCATCACTTATTTTCATGAGTGTCTCTCCAGTCCTTACTGCCTCAGTCCTTGAGCTGGGAGAAGGAACACTGAGGTGTTTCAGAGGGAAGGATGAAAACAGCTCATCAGCTTGCTAATGTTAAGCAGCCTTTGAGCACTCAAACCATGTTAAGTAATGGAGTTTGGGAATCTAACCATGAGCCTTGTTGGATGGCAGAGGTAGCCTGTGATTGAAGGTCAATCCTAGTTCATGTTTATTAGAGATTCTCTCTATCTAGAGTTTCGGGCTTTCCACACTTTTTGCAAAAGCACATAAAGTCTCTGTAGAAATGCAACAAGAGAAGTTCCTGATGTTGAAAGAGAAGTTTTCTGGTGGTGAAAGGATACCCACATAATGTATGAATAAGGCAGGTTATTACTTGGTTGCTTTCCTAAACTTCAAGAGATTGAGAAACCTATTTTTGACATATGGAGCTCAGCTAGCCAAATGTTTGGGTAGTGAGGGTGCAGGTTTAATGCCACAGAGGTTATTTTTAGAGACTGGGTAAAGTTCATCTGACAGTGGGATGCTTGCAGCAGCTCCTTATCCAGGAGGAAGCCAGAAGGGAAAACAGTCAGGAAATTCAACAGGGTGATGGAAGAAAAAATCCCTAGGCTGAAGGAAAAGCCAGCACTTTCCTTTCAGATGTGGGCAGCTGAGGTGAATAAAAGTTGTTTGTTTGGAAGTACTCTTTGAGCTTTGTCTAGGATAAGAGAGCCAGGAGGACACTTGGAGCCAATAGTTTGGCTTCCCCAGCAAACAATGAAATGATGGCCTGAATCCTGTGTGCAGTGGAAATGGCAGGATCAGCCATATGGGATGGATTATGGAGGTGCACAGATAGCTCGTTTCATTTTTCAGACAATGGAACTGTTTCATTTATTGCCTATTATTAAAACTTTATAGCACTAAAAATAAAAGAATGAATGAAAAAGAGAGAGCAAATTTTGGATACCTTTTAAAGCACTGACCTTATTAAAAAAATGCTGGCAGTGAGACCTTCTGATAATTTTTTTTTTTTACTTCCTTCATAAAGATGGTGTGAGAGGGAAAGGTTTATGGCCTGATAGATATTTTGAAGTTAATTTTTCAGTGCAGTTCCTTGGAAGAGAAAGTAGATGCCACATGGATAATGTTCAGCACACTTGGTATCAGCAACCCTCAGCAAAGGCCCTCCAAATTTCCTGACATTTCAGAAACACTGAAAACAATTATTTTTTTGTCAACATTTATTATTGTCCCAAAATGTCTCTTCATTGGCCAGGTGGGGATCCTTTTCCTTGTTAGGGGGTGGAACACACATCCAGAATGGCACTCCAGTACTTCTGCTGACTGTGGGAGCACACCAATGTCATGAACTGCTACAGGAGAGACAGTTATTGGAGTTGACAGGGATTAAACTTCTTGATTCCCACCTCATCCCCTCAACATTTTCCTTCAAAAATAGGAATTCATCGCAGACAGAACAAAGGCTGGGGCTAGGGCTGTAAAATCAGTAGACAGTTGTGGTGTGCCTTCTAACAAAGAGTTGTTTTTAGCACGAATGAATGTTTTTTCCTCTCCAAGACTCCATTCATAGTGTGGTAGCTGTCTAGCAAGTTAGCACATGAAGGTGCTATCTCATGGGTCTTGTCTGATACCTGGAAGGAAGTGAAAATTCAGTAAGGATGTGTTCTGCTTAGAAGCTGTTTCAAAAACACCCACAACATTCAACATTTTTTCTGCATGAAGAAAAAGAGTTCCAAAACCCAGACACCAAAGATAAAAAAAAAGAAACCCACAAACTAATGGGGAAAAAAGGTTGATCTAGTATATAGAGGCTTAAATTTGTGCGTAGGAGAAGTGGACATAAGTTTGAGCTCTGTCACCCACATGCTCAGAGAGGATATTTTATACACGTGTTCAACATATGCAAACTTGTGGGAGTAAATGATTCACATTTGGGGAAGGAAGAGCCAACTGTGGAGTTTGACATTCATTCTTCAGGTACCTGTGACACCACGCTGCCCTCAGCTTTGCAGGGCAAGGCCACACTGTTGCTGCCAGCAGTCACAGTGTGAAAGGGGACGGGTGGCAGGAGCTGTGTTCACAGCAAGGGTCATGTTGTAGAGCTGCTCCCCTGGAGCAGGAGGAGGTAGGTCCCTGTTGGTGTTGGCATCTTTCCTTCCTCTGACATGCAGGGCAGGAATAGAGCAGCTTTACAAGCTGCTCTGACACTCTCAGTGCTGCCATTTACCCCCTATCAGCTCATAGACACAGTCAAGTCCAACCCTTGAAAGCAATATATTATTCCCAATTTACTGTTTTATTTCTTCTTTTTATTATGTCTTAGCTATTCTTTTTTTTTTTCCTTTTCTTTTAGAAGTAGAAATTACATGATGCCTTTGAGAATTGTATTGATATAGGGGAAAGTGTTAAATGGAAAGCTAGAAACCTTGAATCGTGAGTCAATTGAAGAGCTCATAATGATGTAGGGAGAGGCAAGGGTAATAGATTTAATCTACTTTTACTGCCTCCATGAGCCACCTCCTATTAGGGACTGGATTTCACTGGAGGTGAGTTGTGAGAGCTAGAGCGCTGTGCTGGTGCAAAGTGAGGTTGTGTACCTGGGGATCTAAGGACTGAGCCAGACTGTGTGTCACTGCTCTCAGTAAGCTGGCCTCCCTGCTTCCCCACACCATCCTGTGGCAGACACAGAGCAGCTGGAGTAGCACAGCTGGAAATTTCAGTCTGCATTTCTGATACATTACGTGGTTCTAATCATCAAGGCAGGTCCTTTCAACAACAGGTCTGGCTGCATTGCAACTTGCTCAGGGCATTTTATGCCCCCTGGATATACAGTACCCAGATATACAGAAAGTCTTCCCTCAGTGTTTGGGCTGGGGATCATTTCTTGAGGCTGCAAAAATGTACTGTTCTCTTCCTGGCTCTGTGTGTTGAGAAGCAGATGGAGTCTGAACATGTGTGACTTTCATACACAGGGAGCAGAGGAAATCCTGGGGGTGGTACCGGTAGTCAAAGGGCAGCTTCTGCACACAGAACACAGCTTGGCCGATGGGTTCAAATTCTGGCCTGCCTTGTTGCATCTGAGCTCCATGAGCTGGCAGAGGCCACTGTATTAACCAAATAGTTTTGTTGTAATGTGCTCTGCACTAGTGTGAGACTGCTATGCAAAGATGTCTTCTGTTTCTACTTCTAACAGCTTAGCAGCTAATAAACACCATGCAATAACCTCTCTTCTAAACCTCCTCTTAAAATACAGAGTTTGGTTTGCCAACTCCAATGTATTTAAAGCATCCAAGCTTCCGGGGAGACTTTGGAAAGTTAACTGAGTGAGTGGAGGCATGTGCAGAAAGACATTTTCAGAAGGAAAAGGCAGCTCCAGTGTCAGTTCAACATCTGATGAGCAGCTCTGGGGATGTTGTGCCTTTTGCATTGAAAGGGGATATGTTCTCGCATTTGATGAAGAATCTCTCCTGGTATTCAGTCAGTGCAAGGGCTGTAACCTACTGTGGGGAAACAGGCTGGGGAAGGTGAGGAATGGGGAACAGAGTACAACTTCCACCGAGGAGAGCTTTTCCTGGGAAGAAACTCCAGTGGGTTTGATAACACGCCTGTGTCCTCACTGAGCCTGTGGCACAAAGAGACTTCCAGCAGAGCTAGGAGTTTGTGGTGACAACAAGAAAAAATCTGAGACCCCAGCCTTTCAAGAAGAAAAATTCTCGCTTGGTTTTTGGCTTTTTCTCTTTGATAAGTGTTTTGGTGAGTTAGGGACCCAAAGCAGTTGTATCACTGATCTTTTAGAAAGATCATCTTACACATTTCTAGTCGAAGTTCAAAACCAAGAAGATTCCCTTTTTGATGGCTTCTCGTAGCACTTTGGAACAGTGTCCAGAGCTATGAAGTGGCAGGGAAAGGCAATTCACAAAATCTCTCTGATTACATAGTCTGAGTCCCAGGCCTTCTTTATTTGCATCACAGCTTATCCAAAATTGTGGAGGGCCACTCAATGATAAATTGAGTATGCCTTAAGGAGCTGACAGTCGTGCGTCCCCTGGAAAGCAGACAGAAGGCTTGAGATTCTTGCTAGAAAGGAAAAAGGCATTTATAGACCGCTAGGAACTTTTGAAATCCTGGGCTGGGGAAATTTCATTTTACTCTCGTGGTCAGCACCTGTGAGGGAAGAATCACTTGAGGAATTCACAGATGCCAGGTGACCTTTCAGTGGCTGCTGGCAGCTTGCCAAGCAAGGTCAGAGCCTTCTTTCCTCAGTGCCTGTATCCCCAGCTGGTGACATTCTTATTCACTCCTTATTTTCTTTCCTTTGCACAGGACAGGGCTGGAGGCCATCATGGAGACCTACGCCTTTTGGAGGCCCCCCGTGCGCACTCTCACCTTTGAAGATTTCACTACCATGCAGAAGCAGCAAGGTGAGTGAACAAAGAGATGGCAAGAAAGAGATTGCTCTTTCTCCTGAAGAAAGAGCAGGAGAAGAGGACATAAAAGCAGCAATGCACACACTTTGCTGTGCGTCCAGCGAGTGGAATGGGAATGTCACACACATTGTCGAGGTCTTGGCTCAAGTGAGAGGATACAGAGCAGAGAGGGGGATGGAAACAGTGGGCAGTGTCTCATGAGGTGCAATGGAATCGCTTGGGTTCCCTGGTCTACCAAGAGCTAGAGTCCTAAGAGCTAGAAGGAGGAGCAGGAAGCATTGTAGGGTTGGGCAAATCAGCCCAAGTACACAGCATGAGTTAAATGTGAAGAGAACACAGAAAGACTGAGGAAATTCTCAGCCACGCTGTTCTCCATTTACAGTTTACATTTGCCATTTGTATGCAAACACAAGGGGAAGTAGTGGGGTGGGGGTGGGATTTGCCCTCTGGAAGTTTTAGGAGACCAAGAATATGTCTCCCTTTGGGGTCATGCTACCCTGATTTCAAAACACAGTGGCCTTGCTGGAGACACTTTCTGCTAGTAAGAATCTGGGAGGAATTATTGGATAGGCCAAGTGTTCATGCTGTGTCTTTTCATAGCTTCTGCCCTTTACATATCTCATTAGTTAAGTAGGGCTTTCATCTCTAGTTTCAGGCCATGTTGCTATTTTGCTTTTTGCAGAGGTAGGTCTTTCCCATTCACTTTAGTGCAGCTATTTCTAGTTAAAAACAGTGATCACTGAGAAAGAGTTATCAGGGCAGCAGCCTGATACTTTTTTTTTATTACAATGTACATGCAAGAAAAGAAGCAATTCAAAATGGTGTTCAAATGTGACACCAGCAAAGGTAAGCAATCAACACCAAATGCCTGCCCTGTGTAGCAGATCTCCAGCCTCTCATATTCAGTCTTGACATCACCCCCAAAACTTCCCTCCAGATCTTGAATCCACCTAGGGATGGATGGTGTGTTCTCCTCAAGATGCAGGGAAGCAGTGGTGGCTTTTGGGGTTGCCCATCACTGAGGCAGAATCAGAAGAGTGTTCAGCTGAGGAATCTCTTCTTGCTTGTTGACTGTCCCCATGCCAGTCCCACATGCAACACTCCAGGGCCCAGGTCATCTGCTAAATATTTTTTCTGATGGCACAGCACAGAAGTAGGACAGAGCATGCTCCAGTCAGCTCTGTTAGACTCCCCATGCATGGTCTTCACCTGACCACCCAACTCCTCTTGAATAGCACAGCATGGGGCAGGAGGGACTTTGCACAAACTCAGGGGCTTGTGTCGAGGAGCACTTGTGGTGGGGCACGTGGTCAGAGATGGGTTAAAGCAAGGATTTAGAAATGTTTTCATCACCCACCTAAATAGAAACATAACAGCCTCTCCTCCTGGTCACAGTCACTGAAGCAGCCTCTCTCCGATGTCTCACCCCCTATCCGGGCTCGCCTGCCTCCCTCCCCTCAGTTATCAGATAACATCCTAGTGCCTGCTCCAACTACTGCTTACGTGGTAAGGTAATATTAGGAAAGGAAAATATTTAATGTATTTTTAGCTTGTTATAATATAGTTTGGCAGCTGAAAAGCCAGAAAGCAGGCCAGTACTCTGTAACCAGCAGGCCCTGTGTGGACCACCACCACTGCACCAGAGACAATAAAGCCTAGGGCAGCCCTTAACTGAAGCTGTGTTTACAGGTTGATCTCAAAACCTAACAACTTGTTACAAAAGGGTTTTTGAGCTCTGCATTTAGCCATGTGAAATAATAAATCAGAAATATTCCAACCCTCATAGTGCTCATCTCTCCGGTAACTGCTGCAACAAGCTGACCCCAGTCTCAAAAACAGGTGGAAAGCTAAGGTACAAACATGCTCTATTTTAATTTCTGGCTGCTGGGACAGCCCCCTAAGGCAAGGACAAACATGCTGGTATGGAGTCCTTGGAATTGCTTACAGAAAGAGAAAAAAATGCTGAGGTGGCTTTAAGCCACATGTGATTCCTCCCTCCAAATGTAAGACAACCAGGATATATCGTGCTCACACCTCTTCGTCTCCTTGCTTTCAAGCACCTGAGCAGGGTGACAGGTGAGCAAATCACTGTCGTTTAAGAGCTGACATCAGTATAAGCCATTGAACCTCAGATCCTCTGAGATTTTACATAGATGTGACTTGCCCCAGCGTTTCTTCCTCACTCATCTGGAGCTTCAGTGCTCTGAGCTGCATGGTGTCATCTCATACCTTTATATATTTGTGAATTAGAAACTTTAAGGGTTTTTTTGTTTCATAAACTGATATTTTAATTCCAGATCCCGCTGGTTTCATCAAAGCTGGGTGGATATGTGACATTTCTGAATATACATTTGAGGACATGCAAGCTTTCCTTTTATCCCCTGAAATGTTGGGAAATTGCCTGGGGGCTACGGGAGACTTTTGGGAGTAGAGGTGTGCACTGCAGCTAAAGAGGAGTGAGTTCTCGCTGCAGAGAGACGAGATGAGGGCAGCAAGAGTGGCCACATGCCTAGGACTGCTGAGGAGCAAGCCATGGTTATCCAGCCTATGAGGAGAGAGAAAATAGATAAAAGTACTAAAATAAGATACTGTCTGTGGTGATAGGAAAAAGTACAGTAGGTTCTAGTTACATTAAGTTTAAGGATGTGCTGTAACAGTTTCCCTGTGGGAACTGTGGAATTCAGTTTCGATTTTCTAGAGATGGATTCATCCTACTGTAACAGGAAAAATTACACTTTCAGGGGCAAAAGTTTGGGGCATCAGCAGCATAAATATGGTGTCTTCCTTGCTTTCAAGCTAAATTTTTCTGTGCTACCTGAATTTTCCAAGATAGTATTGCCTAACAAATCCAACTGAATTATTTGGCCAGGTTAGAGATTTGACTGATAAAAATAACTGTATAAATGTGATGATTTTTTGGAGAGCATTTAATTTACTGCCACATGTTGTGCCAGTTTCGAAAAGCTAGTGTGTATTCTGAAATGAGGAGCTGACTGATCTCCAAGCTGACAACTACAAATATGCCCTCCCGTAAGGACAATCCCAGTATTACTCGGCAGTGTGGTTCCAGCACTAACTTATCCAGACCTAAATGAATTAGTGCAGTTCCTAAGAGGTACAAACCCCAAAAATACTGCAAAATGGTCAGTAGTGATGGGGACAGAGGTAGCAAGGGCAATAGAGATTTCTTGGTAAACTGCAAGCATGCAAGCATGCTTCATTCAAGAGACTTCAAGTTTTCTGCTCTAACTAAATGCTTATACCTTTTTGTGGGGTTTAAAGAGCTAAGGACAAATTTCCCCTCATCCACCTTCTTCATATATTTAATTGTTTACAGGTTTTTATCTCCCCCTTCTGTGTCACTCAAAGTGAATAGAACCAATCACTTAATTTATCTTTTAGTGGGAACTTTTCCAGATTCTTAATAGTTTCTTTAAATACAAGTCTGCACAGAGTATTCCAGACACATCTATGTGATACAATTATCTAAAGATACTACAATTTTTTCCACATTATCCTGTCTGCCATTTGACCTACATCCTAGTGCTTTGCTCGTTTGTTTGGCCTAAGCTTTATATGGAGCAAGGGACACACCAAAATCGATACTTGGTGTGCTGGATGCAGCTGTTTCATGCAGGGATTGAATAACTTTCTAATCTGCACAATGATGGGTTTCAGCTGCCAGGCAAACTGGAGGGTTTGATGTCGCACCCAGTGGCAGATACCTGCTGCAGCTGAATCCTGTGGTCCATGAGCTTTAGTTGCACGTCTTGCATTGAAGGGCAGCACATCAGCAAGTCCTGGCAGGTCTGTGACCTGAGTGGTCACCATGTTGTCCTACCAAGGGAAAGAACATGCTGCTCTCTTAGCGAAATCCCCTGGCTTGAGAACAAAACCTCTCTTTTGGAGTGCGTAATCCAAAAGTATCCGCAGCTTCGCAAGAGTGAGCACCAGGCTGGACACAATCACAGCAGATCTGCAGCCAGCTTTGAAAGAAAGAAGTCCCCCCTGAGAAAAACCTTTGCACGAAATGCTCCAAAAATGGCAATCCAGGAGCAGCTGATCTTCTGGGGAATGGTATCACCCACACTGCAGTCTACTTACTGCTGGTGAGAAAGGGGGCTTGGGGTTATTGAATGCATATGGCAGTGAGACGTGCAGAAAGCCAAGAATCTATTAAAGCCTTTAATTGGAATATGTTTTCAAAATTTAGATTGAACCTCATCCAGATTCTCATTATTAAAAATTTGTGGCTCAGTTTCTTGATTTTAAAAGGGAACATAAAAAAGAAAAAAAAAGAGGGAGAGAAAAAAAGAAAATCAGAGTTCCAGTAACTCTGCATTATGTCACTAAGAGTAAAAAGAGCTGTTGCTGGCTCATTTGTGATAACCAGTTTCCCACAGGATATGGTGATGAGCAGATCACTATCAGTGACTCTAAGTTTTGTGAGGACATAGAGACTAAAAAGGCAGTATTAGAAGAGTGATGAGTATCTAATCCTTCCTACAAAAGCCGATGACTTATCAAGAAATGAAATCAAAGCTACCCTAGCAGTTGGTAGGAAGAAGTACCTCCTAAGTAAAACTTCAGGACCAATGTGACAGTCACATGATGTGATCTATCACTAGGCTTGCAGCACATAAAAATTCACTTTGTCATTAAATTATTGTTTTGATGCATGAATAACAAATCCACAAGAGTCAAACATCTTAAACATGACTGGTCAGCTCTCAGGGCAGCTTTCCTTCCAAATGGGCTCTTTTCTTGAATAAGTGCTTTTGCCAGGGATCCAACAAAGGGTAGATGCAGTAGATTCAACCTCTTCTCCATCAGCTTGAGCATCTGCATTGATCTTGGACAGGAGGTAGAGAGTAGAGAGCACACCTCCTAGAGGGTCTGCAAAATTGGCATTAATGGCTCTTGAGATCAGCGTCGGAAATCATCTACAAGGGTGCTGTAGGGAAAAAGGGCTGTGTTCCTTGCTGGTGAGACAG